TGTAATTGATATAGCTCTGCAGTTAAGCCAAGCATTTCTAGGGTCAGTTGAGTGGAGTAAGAAGTAGTTGGCCCAACTGAAAACCCTCTGGATCTGCTAACATGGAGGATCTCAAGTCTTTTCTTGCCCTGCGGAGCCTCCCATTGCTTTGTGCCTCCAGAAAGCTCCAAGCTGACAGCTGAGCCTACCCCCAGAGGTCCCAAGGTCTGCTGCTTCCTGCATTTACAGGTACATTTGGTATTCTCTGTTACAGAGGACAAGGTGTCAACAAGGTTAGCTCAGACCCCAGGCTTTGGACTGGAAGCTTGGAAGAAGCCTGACTCTTCCCTCCAGCAGTGAAGGTGCCAGAAGCCATTTTCTAAGAGCTGCGCCTTCCTTTCAACACTCCCTTCTGAAAGCCAGACATACTCTGGGGAAAAACATCAAGAGATGTGATTCAGAAAAGCCTGCTGCCCAAAGTTTCTCCCCTGAAATCCTCCTCATTAGTGGGGCTCACAGACTAGTGCCCTGGGAATGCCAAGAGAGGCCCCAGGCATTTGCCCACAGGGTACTTCTGTCTACTTGGCTTAGGTTCCCTTGCTAGCCAAGGGTAGGACAGCAGCGAAGGTTTGGGAGGTTTCCCACTTATGAATCATGGGTGAGAAATCATTCTGGAGCAAAAAAATGCAGCCAAAACAGGACCCAAGATGGGGTGCGAGGCTCACGGGGTGACCTTGAGCAGGGAAACAAAAAGCCCAGTTATAGATAAGGAACTAAAAGACACAGGGACTAACACGCCTCAAAAGAATATTCTGGAATACACAGGCAGTGATGAAGGGTGGTTTCTGTCTTCGCCCTCCAGCCAGAGTTTCTCTCTCTTCTCAGCTAGCTGTGCCACCAAAGTCACGGTGTATGCTGCTTGCTAAAGTGAGAAAGAGACTCAGTAGGCTTGTGTGCCAGCAGTCATTCAGAACCATGCTCGTTTTTGGATTATTACCTCGGGCTTAGTTAAGCTCTCCATGTGGATAAACCATCCATGCCTATGCACTGGGTCCTAAGGATATAATTCAAGTGCCCAGAAACGCGGAGCTTTTGCCATGGATAATGCCTAGGGAGGTCTTAGAATGCTGGGGGAGGCAGGCAGTGGTGGCGCACGCCTTTAATCCCAGCACTCGGGAGGCAGAGCCAGGTGGATCTCTGTGAGTTCGAGGCCAGCCTGGGCTACAGAGTGAGCTCC